TAAAGTTTGATCTTTTACCCACTCTTACCAATAGTTGGAAACTTCGATTTGGCACTTTCTAGATGTGGAGGCACTTGTTTAAGGGCTGGGGATGACTGGAAAATCCTCAAAAAACCTCCAAGAATGTTTTTTTTTAATTTCGTATGACTCTCTCTCTAGTTGTGTCCACCCTTCTTTGGAGCTTGCTAGTGTTTTCTTTATATAGAGGGAATGGAAGGGACAAGAGAACAAAGGTTTAAATAGCCATAAACAAGTGTTTTCAAAGCCGCGAATGATGTTTTGTAACATTGCAAAAGTAATGGAAACTTGTCTCTTTTTGAATTTGAATGAACCTAGACATTTTGGCTCCTTCGAATACCCTCTACTGTTGCTCTTCGATTAGCCTATTGCCTCCTTCGACTGGACCTCTTGTATAGCCTTCGATTGGGCCTTTGGTTTCCTCATTTGAAGGGGTCTTCTTGAGTGTCTTTTGAATGGTTCCTTCGTTGGACCCATCTATTTTCCTTAGTTGCTTGATTCCCATATCCCAAGTGAGGACTCCATTCTGGTTCAGGGATCTAAAAGAAACATGCACGCAAAGTTGCTGAAAACATGGAATATACAAGTTGCAGAAAAATCACATAACACGAATTAAACTCCGATCAAGCGAACCAAGTACCTCAGACCTATAGTCTGGCCAGCTAGAACATCATGATCATGAATTGATTCATCAAATCAAGTTGAAAAGGGAAAATCAAAGTTTAAGAAAATTCACCTCAATGTAGAAACTGAAATCACTATTCCCTAGTTACAGATGCGAATAAACCCTGCAACCTTGATCTACACACTTCCTTGAAGCTGACTCCACCAAGAATTTAAAGAATGCACGGTTGAATTCTAAGAATTTGCAAAAACTACAAAGAAGAGCAGAAAACTTCTGATCTGGATTTCTTCTTGTGATGAGCACGTCCCTTGGAAATGAGGCTTATAGGGCCTTATATATAGCAAGCATAGAAGGTTAGAAGATGAAATTGGTCCTCAAAGATGTTAGAGGGCCTGATTGGAAAATTTGGCCAAAAAATTAGTGCACATGGGCCTCATCATTTTGCTCATGCATTCTCTCATTTTCTTTGCATTTCATGAGCCAAATGACCTCAGCAACAAATCCTCAAAGTGCCAGGTCATGATTATTTGAAATGAGAGAGTGTGGATGAATTTGCCAAATCGAGCAAGTTTTGTAATTTTTTCATCAAGCAAGTGCAACACCACATGGGGTATGAAATGGTGAGTGTGGTGGGACTAAGCATGTCACAAATTGGTCATGGTCTTGATTAGAAACAAAAAGAATGGCTGAGACTTGAGTTTGCAAGGAATTGCATTTTGCTTGCTTGGCCAAAATACAATAAAATGCCTCAAAATTCCAAAGTTCATAACTTGCTTATATTTTTGAATTTTGACACAAACGAGCACTATTTGGAAAGGTCTTGCAATGCTTTTCAACCTTGTGGTAATTGGCCTGATATTTGATTCCATCAAGTCCTTCAAAATATGGCATGAAAATCACAAATTTTGAGAAATGACCCATAATTTTGTGACTTCCAAACTTCATAACTTACCACCACTTTATGCATTGATCTCAAACATGGAATCATGTGTAAGATCTCTCTCTTGGCTTTCCAGGCATATTTCATTTTCATTTTTTGGATCAAAGATGAATAGAATATGAATTTCCAAAGTTTGATACTCATTTTCCAAATTTAGAAACTTTTAGGATTTCTTCATGAACAAGTTTCAATCCAAACTTCAATCTTCTTGATCCAATGATAAAAATGGACTTAAAATATGGAAAATACATCTTTGACTTGATGGTTGACCCAAAAGTTCACTTCGTCAACTTTGACTGATTTTGGCCAAAATGACCATTTTGTCCCTTTGAATGAATTGAACAACTACTCTTCAAAATTGGTGAACAAATCTTCAAACATATCATATTCCAAACACATAGAGGCTATGGAAGGAGTTTCCACTCAAAATTCTAAAGGATCCCTGATTAAAACTCAAACCCTAGTTTTACACTCTACATTAGGAGATAATTGATCAAGCTTCAAAACCCTAATTCCACTGGGCATTATGAGAGAATTCTTAAACAAAATTGATTCAAATGATGATAAGAGAATAATGCTTCAAAATTTGGCTCATCTAGACTCCAATTACTCTAATTTGGACAAAACCCTAATTTTGACTGTTGAATCCAAAGGATGTGATTCTCCTCATGGTCAACACAATCTTCAATCTTCTGACGATCCAATGAGTTGGATAAGATATCTTGAGATATGTGAAACCTTTGGGCTTGAAAGATCCATAGTTTTAGATAATAAGGCTCTCCTTGAGCAACTTGTCAATACAATCAACTTCCAAAGCTTGAGGAAAACTTGATAATCAAAATACTTTGATCCCATCACAATATATGAATGTAATGCAATATGATGTTTATGATGAAATATAAGCCTAAAAATTCTAAAATCAAGAGGGTAAATTTTGGAGTGCAACACTAATCACCATACGGTGTAGTATATCTACTAAGGCCTCTGAATCCGCTTGCTCTTGTTAGAGGAACACACACCTATACTTTTATTTACCAGTACAAATTAAATGTATGTTTGTTACACTTGTTAATAACAAAATTCTAAAAATAATTTTTATCATGGTAAACACACACAAAACAATTTATATATTTTATTAAAATATGTTTAAAAATGGGATTACTATCACTAACTTTTTATAATATTTAAATACATTTGTTAAAAATTATTAATTTAAAAAAAAAAATATTGATTAAACTTATTTATTTCAACACAATTTGAAATTGCTTGCAAAAGCATTTTTACATGGACTAAATGTGCAAAACCATTTTAAGAATAAAATACAAAATTTTACAATTTTATAAATACTAAAAATATATTTAACATTTTAAAATAATCGACCATATTCTCGTTCCCTTCTTACCAATTAGTATTATAAAAAAATAAAATATGTATTAATTTACACTATCAACTAATCATCATTATTATTATATCAAATTAGTTTTAATTTTTAAAATAGTAATATGATATAGGAAAATGATACATTTTTATTGAACAACAATATAACACATTGTTTGAAACAGTAAAAAAATTAAGGAAAAAAACACAAGAGCGATTAAAGTTTGTTGAATTTTGTGATTTTCTAATTTAATTGTTTTATGAACAGTAAAGGAAAGAAGATTTTTTTAGAACCCATAGCCAAAAAATGGATCCCTTCCAAATACAGAGGAAAAGTCCATACCCATGCCAAAAAGTGGTTCCCTTCAAAATGGAGAGGAAATGTAAAAAAACATCTCTTTTATTGGAAACATTAAAATAACCCTTTATTTATAATAACACAAAATGCTAGTATTTTTAAATATATGAGTAATGTGTATCTAAAAAACATATTATAATGTTCTTAAACAATGGAATTGAAGTAATATAAAAAAAATTATCCATCAATAATTATAATATATATATATATATATATATATATATATATATATATATATATATATATATATATATATATATATATATATATATATATATATATATATATATATATATGTGTGTGTGTGTGAGAAAAGACCAACTAAGTCACTTATTGTGAAATGAAAGGAATATTATTTTGGAGTCTATAAAAAGAGAAGACTTTGTTTTCATTGGACCTACACCTACTTATTGGAGTGACATTGAATCATATCGGACGGTGGTAGAGTGTAACCGACATTATGAAGGGTTGAGATTTATAGAAAGTCACTCGTGACGTGTTGTGTTAAATCCAGCCAGGCATCATTCTTGCGCTTGACGGTGCTTCCTATTTCCCTAATCAAAAACAACGTCGTTTAGTACCGCTTTCATTTCAACTTTGAGTGAGAAAACAGTTAAAAAATAAATAAATACTTAGAGTAAGAAATATACACATTAATTATTAGTCCAATTATGAAATCTGTAGATCTAATGTTAAGTTGTTGCTATAAATAAATAAGACACATTACCGGCCACTTCCTTACATTTCTGGGATCAGAATTCAGATCTTTCCAAAATCTCACTTTCTGTAACTGTTTTCATTCCTCTAATTCAACAAACCCTTTGTTTTATGCACTTGTGCTTCGTAAAACCACTGTCTCCACCGGAGAAGAGAGATTACGATACGTTTTCTTTCTGTTGAATATAGACTCATTCTGCGCGCTCAATTTGCCAACTAGGTAATGTTAACCATTTCTTGTGAATTCGAATCTTGTTCATTTTTGTTGTTTGCGTAAATTAGTGTAGATCTATGGAAATGCACTTGATCTGGATTTGGTTATGGAGATTGTATGATATGCTTCTTGTTCTCGTGTGATTTGGTTTAGTTGGTTTGAAATTAGGTTATGAATGCATAATTTTATAGCATTTATCATGAATGAAGGTGTTTTCATCCACATGTTCATATGTTCAATTTGTAGTTAGCTATTTGCGATTGAGTTTAATTCACATGCACTGTCTTAGGTTGTGTTTGGTTCGGCCAGGAAAAAATTGATTATGAGTAAATTGATTCTGACTAACGTGAGTTGAAGATAAAATGATTTATGTTTGGAGAAATTCTTTCAAAAGTGAGTTGATAAGTAAATTTCAGTTTAAAATCACGTTTAGACTCAAAAGTTACTTTTCAAGTAGAATCAATTCTACTCTAGAGCAGCCAAACATGTCAAAATCAATTCTACACGTTCAAAATCAATTCTAAGTGCTCCTATTGTGAAACCAAACATATATTTAAAGTGATAACATATCATAATCAATCATGTATATGACTTTAGAAGTAGTTATGACTTTAGAAGTGGTCATGACAGAAGTCTTTTATATTTATAATGAATGACGGTTATGATGTTATGATTGATTGAGAATGTAAAATTTATAATATGTGCAGGTGTTTAGAAAAGAAGCAAAGTTTGAGGCTGAGGAATATTAGGTATGTTTAAGTTATCTCCTAGGAGGAGTCAAAGATCTAAAGGCTTCAAGGTGAAGCATGCTTTACAAATATGTGTTCTTGTTGGTGTTTGTATTTGGTTGGTTTACCAAATTGGACACTCTCGCCAGAAAAAAGTGTCCTATGTAGAGAATACAAAAACTGGCCATGAGGTTATTAAGTTAGGGAGGAAGAACCTCAATCCTCATGTGAAGGAAACTTCTGTTATAGATGCCAGACACAAGGAAGACGAGGAGGAAGATGAACAAGACAATAAGCATGAAGATCCAACCAAATTGGATGATGTTAATGTCGTGGATGATGATTCTGAGCATAAAGAGGATTCCGGAGTAGACCAAGAGAGTGAAGAGAGTTCTCAAAATGCTAAAACTGACACTGAAGGTGAACAGCATGTGGAGAAAGACGATGAAGAGAATGAGAATGCAGACAACAAGGAGAGTGAAAGTGTGGTGAAAAAGAATAAGGATATAAAAGATGAAGTTGAGGAGGACAAAGAAACGGGTGAAGTTAGTGAGGAAAAGAGTAATTTAGAGAATGGAGAGAACAAAGAGGAGGAAAAGAGTAATTTAGAGAATGAAGAGAACAAAGATGAGGAAAAGAGTAATTTAGAGAATGAAGAGAAGAAGGAGGAGGAAAAGAGTGATTCAGAGAGCAAAGATGAAGAAAAGAGTCATTTAGAGAATGAAGAGAACAAAGATGGAGAGAAGGACAAAGAAACTGGAGAAATTAGAGAGGAAAAGAGTCAGCAAGATAATGAAGAGTCAAGTGAAGTAGATTCCAAAGATAAGGAGAGTGAAGAAAGCAAGCAGAATGGAACTGATGCGAAGGACCAAGTGGAGGAAAATCACAAGCAAGATAGTAAAGAAGGAACGGAGGAGAACAGTGGAACAGAAGAGGAGAAAGAAGAACATAAGATTCAGAAAGAGACTTCATCTGAAAATCAGGTTCAGGATGGCGAAAAGAACAATGAGGCCAGGGAGGAAAATTATGCTGGAGATAATGCCTCCAGTGCTGTAGTAGATCATAAATCGGAAGACAATTCGAAAGAAAATGATAATAACAAAGAAGAGCAGGTTGACAAAAAAAAGGATACAAATGAGCCTGAGCTGAATTCTCAGAAAAATAGTGATGAAACTACCGAATCCACTGATTCTACTGCTACAGGAAACAGCCAGGGAAATGAGAGTGAGAGTGAGAATGATCAGGCACAGACCCAGAATGATTCACAGAAGAGTTCTGTGTCAGAGTCAGATAAACCAAAGCAGGAGCAGAACAACGACACCAAGGATGATGTACTAAAGGAAGATTCATCGTTGCAGAATGGGAATGACTCAACTGAAAAACAGAATGAAACATCAGAAGATGAAAATTCTAAGGAAGACAATTCCAGCACACAAAATACAACACCAAAAACTGAAGATTCTAAGTCAGATGCTGCTGGGGATCAGGCTGATTCCACAACTAAATCTTCGTCGGAAACTCAAGACGGCAATACAAATCATAGTGAATACAAGGACACCAGTAATGAAAACCCAGAAAAGAATTCTGGCCAAGAAGGAGCACAAGAAAGTGGTTCATCATCCAACACAGTTGATAACAAAGATGCTACTGGCGAGGAGGCTCAACTCACTACCTCTGATGCATCATCAGAACAAAAGAAAGATGAATCCTCAAGTAATTCCGAATCTGCACAGAATAACAATGCAAACTCGAGTCAAAGCAACACGAACAATGATGAAAGTGTTAATGACAACAAAGATTCTAGCCAGGTCAATTCATCTGAACAAAGTGAAGAGGGAAACACAAACTCGGAAAACAACAGTGATTCTAACCAGAACGACTCAAACAAAAATGAAAGTACCAATGACGGTGGAAATGCCTCAAATGATGCCAATGAGAACGAGAACGCTGCTCAGAACAAAACTAGTGAAAATGAAGGTGAGGCTCAAAATGAATCAGTGGATTCAAAAAAGGAGAATGAGGAATCTTCTCCCAGCGACGGAGATAGCAATTCTAACTTGAATGATCAGGGAAGTTCTGATACTTCAGTTGCACAGGATGATAAAGAATCCCGCGTAGATTTGGAAACGTTACCAGAACGCAGTGGTGAAAGCAGTCGCAATGATGTTTCTTCTGCAGAATGAAAATTCAAATGAATCAATTGTTGTATCTTGCTGCTGCTTCTGATCCTACTTTATTTTGTTTCTTTTTTGTTGAGCCATGTATTGTTCTTTACTTAGCAAATATGCTATCAATTTTTCTTATAAGAGGGTCAGATCAGAACAAGAATTTAGATAGTTATAGAATTGTATTAATATAAAATCATTTTATGTTTCATATGTAACCTGCACTCTTTCCTGGAAAAATAATTACCACTTTAAATTGTCATCAAAGATGAGTTCTTCTCTTTAATTTTGAATTCTTGTTATAGATTTTGAGCTAAACATTCCTTAAATATAAACTCGGTATGCTTTTTGCATCTTCCAAAATCGTCCCCAAAAGACATAAGTAAGTTTTTATTTGAGAATTGATATATATGTATTTGATTTTTTAACTTAACAAAACAAACTCTTGGAAATTTTTAGCTGTATAACTGTCAGCAAGTGTTAATGATTAATAACATATGCTGAAAGTCATTATCTATAATATACATGATTATAATCACTTCAACTTGTTTTATTTTCTTCTACAAGTGTGACATGAAAAGTTCATCTTAACTAAACATCAAAATCAGTAGCTGAGATTTCAACATTTTATCCATTTCTGACATTGTTTAAAATTTGGAGTTATTTTTTCTTGACTCCATGGCATGGCTGAGTTGAGCCCATTTGAGATTGGAGTATTTGAAAGTAATACTAATCAGATAATTTTTTAGTCAAAAATCGGAAAGAGTTCAATTGAAAATAGCATTGAAGAAAAAGAGAAGCAACTAGCAAGGTAGTTTGTCTTTCACTAAGGAGATAATGCCTCTGCAGCTAACAGAATAGAAAGATAACAATGCCTTCGTAACTGCTTCGCGATAAAATGTCACTTACATTTCAAATCCAAAAGTTAAAAGAAACTGACCTGCTGCACGATAAAATGTCGCTTATCATGTTTAAATAGCGGCCATGAGTTGCAATTATATTATAAAAAAAAAACAACGGAAAATTATGGGCATGTTTGTTTTACTTTAATAAAAACAGATTTTTTTTTGTATTTTAAAAAATGAATTTTATAAAATTGTTTTCCAAATATTATAAGTTTTTTTATATTCGTTTTTTTAATTGAAAGGCTAATTTTAATATCTTATAATATAAATATATATTATTGAAGATCAAAACATAAATGAAATTGTAATTTTTTTTTTAAAATTGTATCTCATGATTTTTATAAAAAATTATTTGAAATAAATTCAAAATTAAATGATTTTTTTGAAATTTTGATATTCAAAAATAATTTCAATAAAATTATAAAATATTTAAAATAACATTTTAAGAATAACTATTCAAACTAATTTTTTATTTAAAACTTTTATGAAAAGTTTCTTTGTAAATATTTTTACACAAAATTATGTTACACTATAAAAATTATTTAAAAAAAATCAAAACAAACGGTCGCTAGTAGCCAATATCACCAAGACAAAATTATGTGTTGTCAGTATTGTTAATAATGACGGTATTCTGACATTTCATTTTTTCCCGATCATTTACACCTTTCTCTCTGTGTGTCTATGTCTTGTAATTAAATGTTGTTTTAGAATAACAATGAGATTGATTGTATAATTAACATTATATAAAAATAGTAGATAAATTGTGTTGCTATTCTTTTTTAATGGTAAAATCAATCTTTTTAAAAACTATATTTATTGTCTTACGAGACAGAACACTGTTATGCATGAGCTTTTGAAGTCTGTGTAGAAAACCAAAAATAATAAAATTAAATGGTATGAAAGTATATTGATTGTCGGAACATGCTTTCTCATAGTTTGCCACTTTACTTGAAGCAACTTTGAGAGTTGTCTGTTCCACAGGAAAATCATCAGTCCTCAGTCCCACCAGTGAAGAAGCTCCGTCAAATCTACATAATCATGCTTCCTTATACCTACCCATACACCAGAACATTTGTTGGATCTCCTGTTGAGTGAAAATTCAATAACTCAAGTGTTGTAACCAGTTAAAACGGGGGTGTAATCGGTTACAGCTTGATCAGAAGTACTTCTGGAGAAAGGAAAAAGCGCTTTTATGGGTGTGTTAACCGGATAACAAAATGCGTTAACTGGTTACACCTGACACTTATTTGTTTTTGTTGTTCAGTGGTAACCAGTTAATTGGTTGTGTTAACCAGTTACGCGCGCAATTATTTTCTTTTTCTTGTAGCGTGTTGTTTTGTTTTAGGTCATAATTGTTGTGTAATACTTGTATAAATGTCTTGGAGGAATCCTCATCTTAAACTAATGCAATTATCCATTCTCACCATCAATTACTCTCTCTCTCTCTCTAATTATCTCTTCTATCTCACTATCTTCTTCTTCATATGCCCTAATCTTCCATTGTTCACCTATTGTGTGATTACATGTTCTAACATTTGGCATCAAGAGCCTGGTTCTGATTCATAATCTGATGTACAACATGAATCTTGTCTCCAATGATAGATTCCCTACAAACCTACCAACTCTTGATACGAAGAGTTACGATAAATGATGCAAGCAAATGAAGGTATTATTTGAATACCAAAATGCTTTTGAAGTGATCAAGAATGGGGTGAATCCTCTTGTCGAAGGTATAATGGATGGAGAAAAGGCTAGGCATAAGGAAGAAAAGAAGAAAGATTATAAAGTGTTGCTCTTGATACATCAATGTGTTGATGGTGACAATTTTGAGAAAGTTGGTGATTGCGGATCGGCAAAAGAAGCATGGAGAATCTTAGAAAAGGCATACACAGGGGCTGATAAGGCAAAGATGGTGAGGTTACAAACTCAGAAATGTCAATTTGAATCGATTAAAATGGAGGAGAATGATATTAAAACAAGATTTAGTTTTGCAGATAATCTCTGAGTTTTGATGATAACAATGCATATATTTTATATGTAACAATTTTATGTTCTAATAGTTTGTTGAGTGTGCAGATAAAATATTCTAATTGATTCAGGATTGTTGTCTAAAGAATCATCAGAATTATTCTTAGCAAGCACCAAAAAGACTATTCCATCTGTTTCCCAAAATATCATAATATTCCTAAAATATTTTGCATTTGTTAAATCTTAAAACGATCCAACTGTCCAGCCCAAACCAGTTACGATGTTGAATCACATTGTATGGGACATTATTATTATATTTTAGTGTTATTATATTTTATTTTTTAAAAAAACATTAACTTATAGTTATATTGTGTCTATTTTAAAATTTGTTTAGATATAAAGGGGTTTAAGTTTTAGGAGAGATATGTTTATCATTTTTATTCAAGGGGCTTGTTATTCAAATAAATTCGTTGGTCCATTAAGTTGTTTTTTTGGAAGACCCATTAGTTTTTTTTATAGGGGGTTGACTGAAGTCAACGCCTGATCCTTTTATATAAATGCATTTATTATTATAATTATTGGTATTGTTATTTTTTTTTTTTTGGGTTAAATGCTTTATACCACCTGCAATAGTAGCGAGATTTGATTTACCCCCTTAAAAAAGTTTGTGATTCCCCTCTCAACATTTCCAGATTCCATCTGAAAAAACAAACATGGCAGTAAACAAGTTTCCATGTTGGACCTTGTATAGGCTAAAAATTATCTCAAAAAACAAGTTTCAGTGGAATTCAAACTCAGGAACATCCCCATGAAGGCCAAACGCCCAACCATTAGACCATCAATTTTTATTTGTAAATGAATTCGCTCAAATTGTATTTATTCTCTAATACCTGATTGATAAAAAGAAGAACAATATTTTTCAAGATTTTTCCTCAACTTTATCTTCTCTCTGTTCCAAGATTTTCCTCACGACTCTTCTTTCTCTCACTCAACTTTGTGCTTGGTCCAATAGTTCAAAGGCACATGTCGTGCCTCCTCCGTCATGCTAATTTTTGGTGCAGTTGCCTAATTTGCTTCCACCATATATATTGCTCTCCTCATGTACTCTTCAAAAAAAGTTGGTCTAGGCAGGGTATGTACGATTTCTACTACTAACTCTAAAATGAAAATAGCTTCATAATAACATAAAATTTATTTAAGATATTTATAAAAATGATTAAAGATTTCTTAAATAAGAGAGAAACAAAATTATAAGAACTGCATAATAATTCCTAAACCAAACAGTAGTATATAAATATTCCCCACTATGCTGAATCACTGGGTGATTTTCCACCTGCTCTTTGTAGGAACGAATAAGGCGTATGCAAAACGTGTTTAACAGGGAAAGAAATAAGTACAAAATAGGCTATGAAAGCTGGAAGGAACATGGTCCTAGCCCATATCATCAACATTTCCAAAGAGAAGATTAGTATTGGAAGATTGATACTTCATACAAAGACAGGAGGACTAATTATCGAGAAACTCCAAGAGAGGGCAAAAACTATGCATTATCACATCACTATCTAATTGTGGCTTCACAGGAAATATTTTATTTTGTTTACATATATTACCGGAGGAAGTACAAGATAATTGCTTATTTTATAGATTTACATATATTACCTGAGGATGTACAAGATAACTTCTTGTATTATAGATTATAGAAACAAAAAAAGAACCATGTTGGTGAAGAAAATGCCTTATACTCTATGGGTTGAAATCATGCTTCTATGATAAATTCAGAGAATAAATACAATTTGAGGGAATTCGTTTACAAAGTAAAAGTTGATTGTCTAGTGGTTGGGCGTTTGGCCTTCGCGGGGATATTCATGGGTTTCAAATCCCACTAAAATTTGTTTTTTGAGATAATTTCTAGCTTATACAAGGTACAACATGACAACTTATTTACAGTCAGCCACATTGAATTGGCCACGTAGGCCAAATAGACAGAATCTTGGACAAAAATCTACATCAAGGTTTTTTTCAGATGGAATCTGGAAATGTTGAGGGGGGAATCACAAATTTGGGGGGGGGGGGGGGGTAAATCAAATATCGCTACTATTGCAGGGGTATAAGGAATTTAACCCTTTTGTTTTGCTATTATTGTTA